GTTACCAATAAATATATTTGAATATAAGCGTTCTCTTTTGGTAGATACGAATCCAACGGGTCGCAGAAAAGACCTTTAAAGGATCCATGAGTAAAACCTCTCCACAGCACAGCCTTCCCATTAGTATCAGGTCTGTACGTTTCATTTGTAGCATGTGGATCAGGCAAAACCCCTGGATCACAGACTTCACAGTCCTCTGACAGCAGACACTCAGGGCTCCCCCTCTCTCCCCCCTCTCTCTCCCCCCTCTCTCCCCCCTCTCTCTCCGCTCAGACTTCCGCTTGTGCAGATAGCGAGATTTGGAAAGAGTCAAGTATCTGGACTGGACCAGGATTGAACTGAAGACTTAACCAGGTCTGGACAGGAAACTAAACCAGAACTCATGTGTCTTAGAGCGGAAAATTAGATTAAAAACCTCCTTAAAAACCACTATTGTCTTGTGTAATATTACATGTTTATTATTGCATCAGTCGTGCAACATGGAAAGTATCACAACGACATTAGTGTGTGGTCCCAGAGAAACACTGTTATTCAAGGTTAGATTCAACTTTTCTGACAGTTCTATTGCTTCACAGCCTTTTCTGATGGCATCACTGTGGGTCACCCCTGGACATCGTCTGCCGTCTTCTGTCCAGACAAAATACATATATGCTCACTTTAATACCAATAGTGGATATGGGTTGATATATGCCATTTTGATTTGTGTGTGTTTAAATTGCTCTTGTGAAGCACTTTGATCGGCCTCGTACACAGATTGTGCTATACAAATAAATAAATGATTGATATGTATTGAGTGTAATGGTGTATCCCCTTCCACCAGGCCTTTAGCTGAAACACGGATACTACAGGTTTTATTCTGATTTGTTTTTTCGTGTTTGCACAGGAAGAAGATGGTTTCGCAAAAATGCTGGCTATGTTTTATACTTTTCAACATTTCAGCATATACTGTATCTATTACCATTTAGAGCTAGAAGAACCACTTTCAGGGTCAGGGTTAGCACTGCAAAAAATTTGATAAAATATGAGGTAAAAAGTGCTTGAATGAAATCCATTTGAGCACATTCTGACGGAGTTAAAACAACCATTGAGACAAATCCATTTAGTTTTATTTCAAGAACTGTTGCTTTACTTATTTCATTCCAAGACAGACATTTCTTGTATATTTTTGAAACAACAAAGCAACAAGATCATGTTGCTTTGTAAAATCGTGTTTTACGGCAGTCAGAATGTGCTCAAGTTGAGACATATTTTGCCAAATTAGAGCAATTCATCCATCATTTTTTGCAACCTGTGAATTAAAGCCTAATTGTGAGCCCTCAGCTCGTGTGTGCGTGCGTATGTGTATGTGCGTGTACGTGCGTGCGTTTGTTTGTGCATATGTGCGTGCGTACGTGGGTGTGTATGTGCGTGTATGTGCGTGTACAGTATATGTGCGTGCGTTTGTATGTGCATAAGTGTGTGCGTGCGTGGGTGTGTATGTGCGTGTACAGTATATGCGTGTAATGTGTATGTGCTGTGTGTGTATGTGCGTATATGTGTGTGTATGTGTGTGCTTGTGTGTGTGCTTGTGCCTGTGTGTGTGTGTGTTAGTATGTGTATGTGCTGCGTGTGTATGTGCGTATTTGTGTGTGCGTATTTGTGTGTGCTTGTGTCTTTGCTTGTGCCTGTCTATTTGCATGTGCATGTGTGTGTACGTGCGTATGTGTGTGTGTATGTGTGTGTGTGTGTTTGCGTTTGTGTTTGTGTGTGTATGTGTATGTGCATGTGTGTGTATAAGTGCAGTTTTGTGGCTCGATCAGGTCCAAGTTCAAAATGGCCGCCGCAGACGTGTGAAATCTCTCGATCAACACGATTCTCACTGCAGCCATTTCTTCATCAAGTGGAATGTTGCAGCAGAAACAAAGGTTGCAGATTAACGACAGACAGAACCCACCGTTAGTGTTTCTTTCTCCTCGTCAGAACGAGGGGAAATACCTCTTTGATGCTGTTTACTGGTATTTTTGCTAAAAATTACTTTATGGTCAATTTTTGTAGAAAGAGAAAAAAAAAAGAATGACTTCAAAAGTAAAGTTAACGGGAGACAGATTTTTGACATGCTTCCCGCGCCATCTGCTTTAGGTTAAAGCACGCAGACACAGTGAATATGGGGGAGAGTGGAGACAGAAGTAGAGCTGGATGACATGGTGACGGCAGCCAGGAATGACGGTGAACGCAATATTGACGCTCACTGGATCCACTTTGGCAAAATGGTTTTATATTGTTGTTGCTCGTCGTGAGGCTTTTCATATCTGACCAATTCTGAAATAATGTTGAGCCACTTCTGTTTTGTTGACTATTCAATGGTATGAAAAACAAAATGCTGTGTTTTTAAATCCATTCCTTGGGTCCAGTGAGACAGAAAACAAGACAGTGCTGAAATGTGAATGCAGAGTTCAGTTATCTATGAAGAAACTGCCAATCAAAGTATGATCCTGATAAATAAAGAAACATAATAGAACAAGGATTTGTTTGTAAGGTCCAGGGGCTTGTGCTTTGTGCCTTGTTGTTCACTCCCCTTCGTCCCGTCCAAGCTGGCCGTCTCCTTCCACCCCCTGTGCCATTCTACCAGTCCCCAGTGGGCACAGCCAGCCAGTCTGGCCAGGCCAGCCCCTTGCTGTGTCCCATGCTGGATAAGCTAAGGCCCACAACTTGGGTAGAGGTCTTTGTGCAGAGCCGCAGGGAAGTCCATGTGGCTATGTTTGCGTGTAGCATTCACAAGTAAAGGGGAGAAGAGGGCCCTATCTGTGCCTTTGGGCCGCCCCCCAAAGCACCCTCACCATGTGCCCTATTGAGACCTAAGGGAGCGTGAACAATCATTGCAAAACCAAAGAGCTAAGTCCTCTTGTTATACAAGCCCAATTTTCTGTGGAGACCCCACCTCTCTCCTATGCAGCGAGTGCACCCCCCAGCCCCTCTCGTCAGAAGCTTCGTTAAAGCAAGCCGGGATCCTTTTATGGTGTTATTTAATTAGCCATTCCACAGCAAACTGCCATCCGGCACCGCCACCATTACCTCAAACCCCCTTCCCATACACACACAGTGCCCCCCTTTACCCAGAAACTCACATCATGACAAACAGCAGTCTTTCCCACTGTGCTCACCATCCCTGCGCTCTCCTTCACTTGTCTTTATCTCCGCAGTAATTAGCCCTGGTATGGGGGTGCACTCTCTGCTAGCCAGCCTGGCGGTATTAGGGTTTGGAACAAGAAGTTCCCTGCATGGGGCTCCAGCGCACTAAGAGCTGTGGAGGAAGACAATAGAAATGGTCATTTCTACAGTAACAAGCTCAGCCTTACTGTCCCCACTGCCCACTGAGCACAGTCTACACAGGGACACTAATCATTAACTACATGAGAGGGAGGTCAGGAAACCCTCCCTCTGCTCAGAGAACTCAGACATATTAGGGATGCACTGGTCAGCTGCTCCAAGCCCAACACCAATCTCAACACTATGACTTTAAGAATGTGCATAGATTCATATCAGATGTTCATAAAAGTGATGCATCTGTAAGAGTGAAGGGACAAACAAAATCATTTTCCTCAAATCACAGCAAACTACGGTAAGTACATGAGTTCAATTATCGTCTCAACTCTTCTCCTCTGTAAAAGTGATTTACTCTGGGTCAAAGTCATATACAATCAAGTTGAACAATCAGTTGAAACCGCCAAGATCAAGATGACCTTAAATTACATCAAAGAACCTTTTTTCCAGCTTCAGCAACCATATTAATCATATTTGATAATAACCAAACTCAAAAACCGTAACTTGACTTGTCGATGGAGAAAACTGCTGAGACCAACAGAGAAGTGTAATCAAAGAAAGTCTACATGAGTAACAGCAGCAGGCGGTCCGTTCTGCAGGACACAGACAGGACCGTAGCTCTGAGCCCTCTCTATCTGCAGCCGTGCGCCTTCTGCAGTCTGTGGTTCACATCGTGCATGATCAACGCCCTCTAGTGACCACTACAAAGGACCGGCACAATGAGGAGATAGCGCTGCACAGCCTAGACTCAAACCCCAAAACAGCAGATTGATCCCAAACAGTAAATACAGACCTTATTAACACTAACGCAAATGCATGTGTCAAACGTATTGATCTGAGAAATTAAACTATTAGTAATGTTATGGTTCTGTATGGCTATGAAAGATGACACTTGGGCAAAATCCAAGTCATGATTCTGCTCTAACATGAATAACAAAGTCTGAATCGCGTTGTCCTGGTGCCTCTGACACGGTGTAAAACGAGTGCTTAGCATGGGAAAGGTTACTTATCCTCAGCCATTTATAGCCCTTAATTACGCGCCTATTTTGTGACCCCAGAGTTCAGCGGGCCAATTCCTGTGCAGACCCAAATCCTGATGAACAAAGGTGGAATGCGATGCCTCTTTTCCGCAGACAGGCTACTGAATGTTTCCCATCAATTGCGTGGGTTCAAGCGGAGGAAAGTGATTCTGCTTATTATTGACACCGTATTTAAACTATTACTGCGTTAGGAGCGGATTGTTTATTAAATGTAAGAGCATTCTTCTTTACAGCGTGGGCAAAAGTGGTGCGTTAGGACCCAGATGATCCTTAGATTGTGCCTGATATTTTCCACGTTGTGAGGGGAGGGTTGGCCCGAAAAGGAGCGCTGTCAATCACAGTGAAAGTGGCCGGGGTGGGCAGGACCCTCTGACACTTTGTACCGTCGGAGGGGGATATTTAACTTGGGATTGAGGGCAGCACTCGCTACAGACACACTCTCAGACAGAGCAGGAGAGACGCAGCGCCACTTTCCTCAGCACACACTCTCCCTCAGGAATTGGCCGTGAAGCAAGTCTTGGTTTGGGACAGTCTCATCATGGAGTGGCGCATAAGGATGCAGTGTTTTTGAGAGGATTTATTACAGTTCAAGGAATCGACTTTTTCAAACTCAGAGACTTTGAGACGCGTGTTCCTTGCAGAAGTGCCAGGCTTTGTATTTCAGCAGTTTAAAAGTTTGGACACATCCAGCTCAAGCCGGGACTTCTTCAGCTCTATTTGAGTCTCAGCGAGTGGGTCTCTGTGAGAGGGTCTCTGTGAGAGGGTCTCTGTGAGAGGGTCTCTGTGGAGGCTGCTCATCGTGGGAACTGTCAGAGCGCGTGGATCGCGCGTCCCCAGAGCTGGCAGCGCAGAGGCGTCAGGGTAAGACAGACTGATGCGTACAAACAGCGGTCTGGTTTTAAAGTTGGTGACGTCTGTTGACTGTGGAGAAGCCGTGGATCTATTCAGCTCCAGCACACAACACTCACCGCCGTTTAGAGTCCCCGGAGTAACCATGACAACACAGAGAGATCCCAAGTGAATCCAAGTGCGCGCGCTGAGGCCGGAGCGTGAAAACGTGATTCTGCTGGAGCGCGTCCTGACCAGACCATCAGCCACAGCGCCCTGTGTCATTCAAACCATCCGCGGTCTATTAAAAGTATCGCCTTACTGGTGGCTGGATCCCTCTATTTATGACGCCCAGGGCCCGTGGCTGCAAACAACACAGGCACCGGGCAAAGAACTGAACTGTCCTGACGAAAATCAGAGGAACCATGGCGCTCTCGCAGACGCTACTTGTCTACGTGTTCCTGTGCGTGCACCTCGGCGTCTCCTCCCAGCATTACCTACGCCTCCGTCCATCGCCCAGTGACCACCTGCCAGTGCCGGACCTCAAGGAGGACCCGGACCCGGAGTACGACCCGCGGGAGCAGGACCTGGTGGAGAGGACTTTGAGGAAAAAGCTGGGCAGCAACTTTGACCCTCACTTCATGTCCATCAGCTCGCCCATGCTGGTGAACCTGTCGGACACGCACATAAAGCCACACGGGCCCATGCCCAACGAGATTAGAAAGCTGGACCTCACTGAAACCCCGTACGGGAAACGGGTGAAGGTGGGGAAGAAGGCGAGAAGGAAATTCCTGCAGTGGCTGTGGACCTATACGCACTGCCCCGTGGTGTACACTTGGAAGGATTTGGGCGTGAGGTTCTGGCCCCGGTACATCAAAGAGGGGAACTGTTTCTCGGAGCGCTCATGCTCCTTCCCAGAGGGCATGTCTTGTAAACCTGTCAAGTCAATCAATAAGATTTTTCTACGATGGTACTGTCAGGGCTTCCTCAAACAGAAGTACTGCACGTGGATACAGGTGCAATACCCAATCATCTCAGAGTGCAAATGCTCGTGCTAATCCCAGAGGATGGACTGGAAGTATGCTTTTCTATTGCACTGTTAACTATTACAAAAGTGGGCACCATAGCAAATCTATTTTTTTATATAGCATTTTAAGTGAAATATCAACGTTGTACATATTTAAGACAAATGCAGCTATTTTTTTCTAACTGATCCAGGACCATATTTTATTCTGCGGAAACATGAGCACTTCTATGGAAGAGCTTCTTTTTTAATATTTTTACATGAGACTTTGAGAATGGATTCTGTACTTCTACAAGAAGTGAACTTTTCAACTGAACTGACTGTTGTTTCACTGCAATGCTGCCTAGAGGTTTTGTATATTAATATCAATAATTATTAAATTGTTTTAAAAAGTTGAGGCTAAAGATATATATAAAGGCGTGAACTCAGCTTTTTGGAATACATAGTATTGTAGAAATAAACAAATCTGTATGTTTTATTTATTATTTTAACAATTGTGAGTATAGAGCATAAGGAAGAGAATAGCAGAGTATACAGAAACAAAATATGGGAGATGTCTACTTGAATATTGCTAAAATGAGAAAAATAAAAAAATAAGTCAGACGTATCAGTCTCTGTGGCTTCAACATCGAGCAATAAAGTGTCTTTGAATGTGTTTGACTGTGACCATGCCGTCAGCCCAGTGCGCGTGTGCGCAGCAGGCTGTGCGTGTCAGTAGTTTGTGTAGCCAGAAGTGTGTGTATATTGTGTGATATACAGTGGCGTGTATCATTAGAGCTGGTTGAAGGTTGCATTGCTCTGGCTGCGCACACAAAGTTCCACTGAGGTATTTGAAGACTGGAGGTGGAGGTGGACTGGAGGTGGACTGGAGCTGGACTCGAGCTGGACTGGCGCTGGACTGGAGGTGGACTGGAGCTGGACTGGAGGTGGACTGGAGCTGGACTGGAGGTGGACTGGAGCTGGACTGGAGGTGGACTGGAGGTGGACTGGAGCTGGACTGGAGGTGGACTGGAGCTGGACTGGAGCTGGACTGGAGGTGGACTGACTGCAGCAGCGCGGCGCCTGCTCCAGTCTCGCCCTGAGACACAAACAAAGCCTAGAAACAATGGACGAGTGTTTTTCACGTTAGCAGAATTATCCAACTACACACTCTTAATGAGAGAGAGCAGCCGTTTGGTCTAAGCACAGGGGTCTGCGGTGTTTATAATATTATTCAAATACAATCAACGACTTAAACAGAGCCATGACTAACGTCTGAAGTGAAACTTTCCATGGAGCGCATCTTTGCCTCCGTGTGATTTGTGGCTCTGTGGCCAGAGTTGGATTTGACACTTGCCGCTCGCTTATTGTGACAGAACCGCGGAGGCTTTGGTAAGAAGAGAAGAGAGGCAGTGTGCCAGCGCACAAGACGAGGGGGAGGAGGGGGAGGCAGGGGAGAGGGGGGGCTGCTTTCCTCACTGTCAGCTTCTTTCTTGATGATGTCTCGGGGTTTTTAGAAAGTGCGTCTGTGACTCTACGGCGCCACTCAGCCGCCCCCTCTCGACTGCGCAGAATGAGGCACTTTGGGAAACAGTAACCCTTTCAGGCTCTGCCCGGAGAGTATTTTAGAAGCGTGTGAAAGGCAATACGCCGCCCTGGTCCCAGCCAGTGAGGAGCGCACCTTCAGACACACAGCCTCGAGGCAGCCACTCAGAGGTGAGGCTCACGTCACAGCTGCCCTCAGCTCGTAGCACATCAGCACCAACATGTCAATGAGACAATGAGACAAACTCATCAACCAGAACACATACAGTTCAGCTTTAGACATTAGGGATGTTTATTTCACTGTAGTGTTCCCTGTATGAGAATGAGAGGCCTCAGATCAGTGTCTCATCTGATGCAGCACATGTGACATCACAAAGGCCTCTCTGCTGTCAGACTCAGTCATTACAGGCTGACAGACATGTCTCCACATTCAACAAGGCTGTTAACAAAGTGGCCCCAAGAGGACTCTCATTTGCAGCTTTCTTCTCTCAGAAATTACATTTTATTTACAAACGGATGATAAAGAGCAGTGTGTGCAGCCAGCAGGAGGATGGAATGGAAGACATGGCGGCAGATAATGATGTCGGTGAAGACACAGGGCTGAGTGACATGCTTAGTGGTGAGGATGATGAGGCCTCATTTTTACGATGCTTGTGGTCACACTGGGAGCATCAGTGGGTGGGCGGTAACATCTCACTGCTCATTTTCATTCCAGGACAAACGTGTGGAGGTCACATGACAGTACCTGTGCAGACAACCCCGGCAATAAGTGTGGAGCCGCACATATCTGCAGGTCTACAGACAGAGCCGGAGACAAGGGTCTGTAAGTGTGCTCCGAGCCCACAGTAGTAAAAGGCTTTGAGTCAGCACTGTGAGGCTATTGATGATGACAGGGTATTAGCCCCAGCGCTGGAGGGAGGAGGCAGATGATACGCAACATACCAGCAGACCACCAACCTCGGCATGTGGCGCATGTGTGTGGGCACATAGCATTACTTCTGTCCCAAAAGGCAATAGAAGCAGAGTGTATCGAGTGCTTTACCCACGGCCACATCGCCGCGGCCCTGTGTGTGTGGGTTACAGATCTCTTACACGTGTCCTGGTGGTCTTCAGTTGATTTGTCACTTTATGAAGCCGCAAAAATGGTCTAATTATAGCCCGGCGTGACCACAATCATGCCTGAAATGCAAGCCTGTGTAGTATCGCTGCGTCTGAAGTCGTCTGAAGGCCCTCTCAGATCATAGAAAGTCACTGTTGTTATTATTTACATTATAAACAACACGCTTCACAGTCTGGAGTCGCAGCCGAAGACAAAACGACGTCAACAGAGGACAACGGATGAGAGTCACGTGAGCATAATAATAATAAAAAAGAACAAGGAGAAGTCCCTCGCATCCAGTCACGTCGCACATGTGTTTATATTAACCCTCATTAGCCTTATTAGACCGGACACAAAGTGATGCCTAATTATAGCGCAGCAGAGGTGCTAACAGGGCTGGGAATAGCCCTGTTTCCATGGTTACTTGCTCTTTCTGGTGGTGGTGGTGGCATGTTAAAATTAGAAAAGGGATGCATTAAAGCTGGGGTACTTTTTTTTACCCCTCATTAAATAACGCATGTTGTTTGATCCGACGGAAAGAGTTTCGTGGAAGCAAAAATATGTGAACATTGAACCGGCAAGCCTCATTTTTTTCCATTTTTCTGGCAGAAAAACACTGATCTTAAGGTTTTGACAGAGGCCAGACATACATAAAGAAGAAGAACATGGACTTTATTACATAGTTCCAGTTTTTTTTTTGTGGGTTTAAAGTTAGGTACCGCATCTTTAAAAGCAGAAAACCCATAAAAAAACGACACAGACTGGAAACAATCACACAAGGAATCATAAACATTTACCGTTCATTAAAAAGAGAGAATCTAATCTAACTATAGAAACACATTCATTCATAAAAACACATATAAAAACAATATTCTAAAGGTCTGCAGTGGCGATTTTGCAGTAAAATTCCAGCAGATTTACGATGCTCGTGCTAATTACGATGCCTTTGGTGCCTATGCTGCACGCTGGGGTAGTCTTGCACAGTTTTTCCAATGTGGTTTTACTGCAAATGGCAAAAAAATTCCTGTATCTTGAAAAATCCTTTGTTTTCATCAAACCTGTATAGTTATCGACAATGACGAATATCCAGATGTGAACCCGGCTTTCGGTCAAAGTCATTCCCAGTGGTTTTTTCTTTTTGAGAGTCGCCCTGCTCCGCCAGAGGCCACCGACCCTCTCCCCTGCTCAGTACTTATAGCACTCTTGCTAATACTAACTCGGCATTAGCGCTGCAGGCCATTCATCGCCAACACGCACAAATATGAGCAAATTCTAAATTGCTTGAGATGGACCTCGGTTGCCGTAACGATCCCAGACCCACTGCATTTAAAAGCAGCAATATGTTAGATTTTCATGTCAAGTCATCATTAACTCATTGACAGCCGTTGACGGAATCTCCTGAGAAACTTCCCTCTATTTGACTGGGGGATAAAGGAGAAAAAAATAGCTAGAAAGCAACTTATTTTTGTTGATGAAAGTAGACAGTCCAGGCTTTCAGATTCTGGTTTCAAACTCCCACATAGTCATAGCCCATAATATTCTGCAGGCCTTGATAATCAGTGAAATCATCAAAACAGTAGTTCAACAGGGATATTTGAATTTCCAAATTTGTTTTACAGCCTCTAAAATCTTGTTATTGTTTTCATTTCGATGTCCCGCCCTGCACCGTTTAACCAATCAGAAAGTCTGTGATCCGGGTTATCAGAACTCACCACATTGAGCTAATTTCACTGGTTAAGTGAGAACAAGTGGCCGCAGAAGTAGAAAAGTGTTTGTTAGTGTTCTCAAATCATTAACGACAAAACAAGGATTTCTATCTTAGTGAAAAAGGTGTTGGTTATAGATTTGTTGTTGATAAAACTCTTGTCTATTCAGCTATTAGGGTCCCAGCTCGATTCGTCTGCATATCTGGCAACCCGAGTCAAAGGGAGCGTGGAAGAGGCTGCTGTACCACTGTTGGCACATTTTACATATTACTTCTTTAAGCTGTTGACTCGTCCACTCACACTTAATCCTGATAGTGACTTGTGGACTGGATATTCCCCCTAATGCACATCTGTATTTCCATCTTGTCGCGGGTCGCTGATTGCTTCACACACTCTCTCTCAGTCGTGGCGGCGCTTGTCTCCCTGTGCCCCTCTGTGCGCCGGCTGCATGGCATGCTGAGAATGTTTACTTTCGCCACAGTGTGTATTTACAGAGACTAATAGTTTTTTACGCCGCAATGGCGCCTTCGTCTGCAATATGTGTACGACTCACCCTCGCTGCCGTTCGTCTCTCTGCGATCGCTGCTGGTCAAGTCTGCGGCGTTTTTTGAGAGCCGGGCGATCGTGATGAATGTGGTCAAATATGTGAAGCTCCCATGAGGAATTGTGAGGGTTGGAGTAATAATCAGTAGAAATGGATGTTCT